ACATGGTCACAGACTGCATAACGAAGCAGGCAATTAGTCTTTATTTTCATTACACAGTAGTAACTAGAGAGCACTGAAAAACCTCTCAAAGAACCTTTCGGTACTACACACAGATATATACATATACAAAGGTCCTGGATGGTCTAATTTAACTTCTCATATATGTGGCAGAAGAGATGGATCCTAGAATCAGGCTCAAACAAGTCCAAACATTCAATCTCATGTCACTGCACAACTGAAAGAGCTTTTGATATCAGGGTTCTCTCTTCAAGCCCAATGTGGGAAAGAAAATGCACTTCTGCTGTAGGACCACAAATATAACTCTTTTCAACCCTTCCCCACTAATGAGGAACTGAACTACAACAGCAACCACCTGCCCCATTATTTCTTTCAATGACCAGTAAAAGAGCTTCTGCCCCCAAACACAGTGATTTCCTTCAAAAACAGCCCTGCCCTTCAAAATCTGCCACATTTAGTCCAGGATGCTGCTTCATCACCTTAAGGAACTTAAACACCACCACTTTTCTTGCTGCCAAACACCCCATATGGCCTCCTCATATTGACCATTTTATCCCACTATCACTATCACCACATACTTTGTTGTACAGCCATCCCCGATAGATACAATTGTCTTAATCCTTCATGAGTCCCCCACACTTCCTTTTAGATGTCCTCAGTGTTCAACCCCTAAACTTACAGGATAATAGCTCTAAGTATTATGAACAGAATCATTTCTTTCCACCCTGTCTTTACACAGCATGCATAATTTTACAGGCCATTTTTATTATATACCCTCCCTTTTCACTACCTGCCCCTGGTTATCCTGAGAAAGTGAAAGAAGGAAGCAGATCCTTATGGACCCATTCTATGCCAGGTCCCCACGTGACCCTTCCATCTTGCTCCCAAGTCCTTTGAGCCCCAATTATCAGAAAGGAGACTAGAAGGGGGAGGACTTTTTAAAATACAGTACTGTAATCGTTTTCTCACTTCCTTCTCTCTCCACAGCAAGGAAACAGACTGTTCCCTGGTACAGAGGGAGAGGCCGAAGTGGTAAGAGTTAACCGAGGAAGAGAAAAAGAGCCACGGCACTTGGCGATCTCATCCCAACCCTCTCTGACCAGAGGTAGGCATTTTATACCAGGCTCTCCCTGCTAACAGAGAGGCTGCACGGCACCGAGCAGGCCCCAGAGATTCACCTGCTGGGCGGTGCGGAGGCGCTTTAAAACGAGCCGAGAGCGGCTTTCCTCGGGGCCACCTCTTGTGATGCAAAAAAGGGGCGCTTGGCTTCCCCGAGATGATCCTTCTCCGTTTCCTCTGCTCCCCGCGGGGCCTCCCCGGCTTTCTCCGCCTGCTTCCCTTGAGGGCAGTCTGACCCCGGGTAGGGGGACTCCCCCCACCCCCGGGTGCCTCATGCCCTGAGAGAGACCCCTCGCCCCTTCGACAGGGATCCACATTGGGGGGGCTCCACATGACCCGGGGAACCTTCGCTACCCACGTGACCCTCGCGGTCGCCCTCCTCTTTCCCTCACGTGCTCCCCCTGCTCGTTCGCCTTCAGGGCCTCACCCGATCTCGTCGGCGCCCCCGACGCTATTCATGGCGGCGACGGGGGCAGAATGGCCTGGGGGTAGGCCCGGTCAGCTGCCCCTCCGCTCTTCTTCCTTCTCCTTCTCCTCCGTCGGGGGCGCTGCGGCGAGAGGCGATGGTGGGTCCTAACGCCGCTTTCCTCCCGTCCGCTTCATCCCCTGGGGTTCGCCACCTGCCAGAGG